TTACTACTTGTTGCTGTTATTATAATTAGCAAAGTTTTATTAACATGACAAAACCTTCCTTGTATAGACTCATTGATCAATAATAATATCGAGACGACGACGCTATCTCGATTCACAAATTATTTGAAGAGGGTTCTTCCAAGTGCAGATACTCAGGTCATGGATTTGGCGTCGAAAGCATTGGGTAAACGATCTGGCCTGAATTAATCTTTTCTAATTCGCATCGAACTAAAACATAATTTCGAAATTTCGTAGGAAAATTGGCGGCACCGAGCGGCGCGGTGACCGCCATATTTGTACAACGGGAGGTTAACACTGCACTAGAGCATTTACAGGGTAATTGAAACCGGCGGTATTGAATGAGTTCGTTCATCAAATTATGACACTTACTCACGATTCACTCATATAAAATCCAGGAGATCGTCAGGAATTAAGACGATATTCGGCAACTCTTGTCCTTCGTGAGCTCGCGCAGAATGCACCAACACTTGTATATGGGCATGTACCAGCAATTTTGGATTCTATATGGGTTGGTTTGCGCGACCAAAAGCAAATCATAAGGGAATCCTCGGCTGGAACTTTGAGCGCATGTTTAAAAATTATAGATGAACGTGAAAGCCCACTAAGGATTCAATGGTATACGAAAATTTACGAAGAAGCAGTAAAAGGATTAAAGCAAGGTAGTGCAGATCAAATACATGGATCCCTGTTGGTTTACCGCGAATTGTTGAATCATGCGCGAGCTGTAAGTATACTTTATTTTAATTATTTTATGGCATTCTTTTCTTGGTATACTTATTTCCTCAAATACATGAATCATGTAGTTCATGCATGAACGTTATAAGGTTGTGTGTGAAACTGTTCTACGCTATAAGGATCATCGAGATAGTCTCATCCGGCGAACTGTTATTTCCTTAATACCTGTCTTGGCGGAATTTGATGACAAAGAATTTGTCGCCTCTAATGTTCATAAGTGTATGGCATATCTTTTAGCACAACTTAAAAAAGACCGAGACAGATCCAGCTGTATGTATATCCGAAACGTTTTAATTTAATCATATACTTTCATGCGACATTAATTCATATATTACGGGATTCTGCAGCCTTTATTGCTATTGGCCAAGTTGCTTGCGCGGTCGGTAGTAACATAGGACCATACCTTGATTCTATATTAAGCAGTATAAAAGAAGGATTGACCACTAAAGGGTAAACAGTCTTATGTTAAATATATTACCGCTAGATGATGGCAATTGTGCTTCATTTTTTTTTTTTTTTTTGCATCTCCTCAACCTTTTAAAAGTCGTAATCGTGGTGGAAGTGAAGCCCCATTGTTCCAATGTATCGGAATGTTGGCTCGTGCAGTAGGTCAAGCACTCACGAAACACATGCACGAGCTCCTCGATTTGATGTTCGCGTGTGGGTTAAGCGAACCGTTATGTCAAGCTCTGATGGAATTAGCCGAATGCATACCACCTTTGCTCACCAACATTCAAGGTATTATCCGAATCTGGTTTTCCCGTTTATCATCCACTTGCTTAATTTTAATTATTATTTTAGAACGCCTTCTAAATATATTGTCGTTTACGTTGAGCGGACAACAATTTCGTCCTCCCGGTTCCCCCGCATCTGAAGGACATGATATTCGACGTCATCTTGGAAATCAAATGTCCGAGTTGAAAGATTCTGATACTATAGTGCTTGCATTAAGAACTCTAGGAAGCTTTAATTTTGAAGGTTCGTTCCTTTCTATTACACTGCTTTGTTGCATCAATTTATTTAATGACTATTACAACCTATTGCCTCAAAATAGGTCATATTCTAAACGAGTTTGTTCGAGATTGTGTAGTACGTTATTTGGAACAAGAAAACAATGAAGTCCGTGAGGCAGCTTCTTTAACTTGTTGTCAGTTGTTTGCTAATGATCCCATATTGGATCAAACAAGCAATCATGCGATTCAAGTGGTGAATGAAGTATTAGAAAAGCTGTTGACAGTGGGTGTTGCTGATCCTGGTAATTGGCGCTAATATTTGAATTTCTGCATTTTTAAACAATTTCCGAGTCAGTGAATAATAACTATTTACATTATAATTTGATTTTCAAGATCAAGTAATACGAGAGACTGTTCTATCAAATCTTACCGAAAGGTTTGATCGACATTTAGCCCAAGCAGAAAATATCCGATCTTTATTTATCGCCCTCAATGATGAAGTATTTGCTATTCGTGAAATAACCATTACAATAATTGGTCGATTGGCTTCGCACAATCCTGCATACGTGATGCCATCGCTACGGAAAACTCTAATTCAACTCTTGACAGAGCTAGAATACTCTAGCATTAGGTATTTTGTTTGATCAATAATATTATGTATATTTCCTTTCGTATTATTTTCTCTTTTTATAAAATATTAAATGCCTGTCTCATCTGATCTGTTAGTCGTAATAAGGAAGAAAGTGCTAAATTATTAAGTTTATTAGTTTCCGCCTCGCAACGATTAATAAAGCCGTACGTAGAATCTATTCTTAAGGTCTTATTACCCAAATCTCGAGATCCTAGTCCTGCGGTGGCGTCAAGTGTTTTGGCCGCATTGGGTGAATTGGCACGAGTGGGCGGCGAAGATTTAATCCCATATTTGGATGAGTTGATGCCCCTTATAATTGATTCTCTTCAAGATCAAAGCTCGATAGTTAAGCGGGATGCAGCTCTCAAGACATTGGGTCAACTCACCAGCAATACTGGCTTTGTTATCGAACCATATCAAAAATACCCGAAATTGCTGACTATTCTCATCAACATATTAAAAACCGAACAGTCATCTTCTATTCGCCGAGAAACTGTCAAGCTGGTTGGGATTCTTGGTGCATTAGATCCTTATCGACACAAGGTAGAATGTTTGCTGAAGAGAAATAGTTAAATAAATATTTTGATGATTGTTGGTCATATATTGTCCTATATATTTTATTTATTTTTATTATTATTATTTTTTTTTTGTTAGATAACCATTGGCTCAACAGATGATTCATTAACCGATCCAAAGTCGAGTAACACAGATGTTTCACTTTTAATGATGGGAATTGGTCCTTCATCGGAAGATTATTATCCTACTGTTGTAATAAATGCGTTGATGAAAATATTACGTGATCCTTCGCTAAGCGCTCACCACACCGCTGTCATTCAAGCAGTGATGTATATATTTAAAACTCTCAATTTAAAATGCGTGCCATTCTTGCCGCAGGTACTATTTTCGTTTGACTGACTTGTTGACTGTCCTGTGAAGATGCTTTTTTTTTTTTTTTTTTTTAAGAAAAAAATTTCTTTTTCTCAAAAAAGATTGCGCCAGCATTCTTAGGTGTAATGCGAACGTGTCCTAGTGGAATGTTGGAGTTCTATTTTCAACAACTCGGTATCCTTGTTTCGATCGTACACCAACATATTCGAAATTATCTTTCCGAAATTTTTGAACTCGTGAGAAATTTTTGGAATCCGAGTTCTTCAATTCAGATAACGATTATTCATCTTGTCGAAGAAATCGCCAAAGCCCTTGATGGCGAATTTAAAAACCACCTTCCAACACTTCTGCCAACTATGCTACAAATCTTTGACGAGGACACAACTGACAAACGCCAGCCCACCCAAAGGGTATTGCACGCTCTCGTTGTGTTTGGCACAAACATCGAAGAATACATGCATCTTGTCATCCCTGTTGTTGTCAAATTATTTGAGAAACAAGATGTGCCTCACCAGTTGCGTAAATCGGCAATTATCACCATCGGTCAATTGTCCAAAAAAGTGAATTTTTCCGACCACGCGTCTAGAATAATTCATCCCTTATCCCGTGTCTTGACCCAGCAAAATAATCAAGAATTAAAGAATGCAGCTATGGATACACTTTGTACCCTCGTATTCCAATTGGGCTCCGACTATGCGATATTCATTCCTATGATAAATAAGGTATGTGATGGTTATGCATTGACTGATGTTTTTTTCTGTCCAATTTTAATGCAACTTTTATGTTATTCTTGGGCTTGGGATTTTGTAGGTTCTTCAAAAGCAACGTATTCAACATCCCAATTATGATATGCTGGTGTCAAAGCTTTTGAAAGGAGAACCTCTACCACCGGAGTTGGGCACCGAGGAGAGGTTGATTGTCGTCATCATTGTTGATTGACGTTATAAGATAGTTTTCTTGTATTCTGATTTTTAGAACACATTTCTTTAACAGATACGGAGAATCACGGGTTGAAGAGACCCCGGCTGCAGAAGCAAATGCCAAAAAATTGCCAGTAAATCAGTTACACTTAAAGAATGCATGGGAATGCTCGCAAAGATCAACCAAAGATGACTGGCACGAATGGATTCGTCGTTTAAGTGTCGATCTCTTGAAAGAATCACCGTCACATGCCCTTCGAGCTTGTGCAAGTTTGGCTGGAGTCTATCACCCCTTGGCGAGAGAACTATTTAATGCGGGTTTTATATCGTGCTGGTCAGAATTATATTATCAATACAAGGTAGCTTTTAAATTAGAGATTATTGGGAATTTGTCACGATTATACTTAAAAAATGTTTGTGACCCTAGGATGAACTAGTTAATTCTTTGATGTCAGCATTGAGAGCCCCAAACATCCCTCCCGAGATAGTTTCAACAATGTTGAATCTTGCTGAATTCATGGAGCATTATGACAAGCCTCTTCCCATTGATATTAGAACACTTGGTAACCATGCGGAAACTTGCCATGCATACGCTAAAGCCCTTCATTACAAGGAGCTTGAGTTTATCACCGAAGCTACCACGGAGACGATCGAAAAGTTGATTCAAATCAATAACCAGCTTCAACTTCCCGATGCTGCCATCGGTATACTCACACACGCGCAACAGACACCCGGGCTACATCTCCAATTAAAAGAAAATTGGTATGAAAAATTAACCAGGTGGGAAGACGCCTTGGCTGCTTATGAGAAGCGTCGTCAGAATGAGCCAAACGATTTTGAAGCAACGCTCGGTGTGATGCGTTGTTTGCATTCTTTAGGCGATTTCGATAGTCTTTCCGAACTTGTTCAAGAAAAATGGCAGGAGGCTTCAACCAAACAGAGAAAGGCCATGTCGACTTATGCTGCGGCGGGCGCGTGGTCCTTAGGCAAATGGAATCTAATGGAGGATTACATTCCAACAATCAAACAAGAATCCCCTGATCGTTCATTTTATCAAGCTGTTCTTGCACTCCACAAAAATCAATATGCTGAAGCTGTACGTCATATTGATAAAACGCGGGATCTTTTAGACACCGAGTTGACTGCTCTTGTGGGAGAAAGTTATAACCGAGCATATAGGTAAATAAATACATATATATTTAAGCTTTAGATGGCTTGATTTTAACAAATAGATATTTTAGTGTTGTTGTTCGCGTTCAAATGTTGGCCGAACTGGAGGAGATCATCACGTACAAACAGTTTGCTGATCAGCCCGATAGACAAGCGACCATAAGGAAGACATGGATGAAGAGGTACGGTTATACACTATGGGATGCACACTTGTCTCAAAAGTCGATTAATTCTAATATAAGTTCTGTTTTGCAGGTTGAAAGGTTGTCAACGTAGCGTTGAAGTCTGGCAACAGATCCTTAAAGTCCGCGCATTGGTCATATCCCCCAAGGAGAATATGGAAATGTGGATCAAGTTTGCAAACTTGTGTCGAAAGAGTGATCGCCTTGATTTGGCTAAAAAGACATTGAAGCAATTGTTGGTTGGAGATCAAAAACAAGTTGTTCACCCATCGGTAATATTGTTCCCTTAAAATGAGGTTATGTAATTTGCTTCTATAATGTTTGTCTTTTCTTGCATTTAATAGACTTTGTTTCGAGCTGCACCTCAAGTGGTTTATGCTTACTTGAAGTGGTTGTGGGCCAGTGGCGTTCGGGAAGGGGCATTAGAGTCTTTAAGAGAATTTACAACGGGGATAGTAAATGACCGGGTGGGAAATACCGGATTGCTCGCTCGTTGTTTCCTTAAAAAGGGTGAATGGCAAAAGGTTCTTCAAGAAGACTGGGACCCGGTTTGATATCAACTTTATACATAAATAAATAGCCCTACATTTTAATGCTCGAGTGTTCGTTCTGAGTTTCCTAATTTTGCGTATATTCAAATGATATGGTAGGAGACAATCCCCGAAATTCTCGATTCATACAGATTTGCAACCAAATACGACAAAGAATGGTACAAAGCATGGCACGCCTGGGCTCTTGCAAACTTCGAGGTGATATCGCATTATGAGAAGCTAAACTCCATGGATAATTCTAAAGAAGAGCAAAATATTCACTATGTCTCGGAAGAAAATGCAAATATCGACGAAATATTAAATTATGTGGTTCCTTCCGTGCAAGGTACGTAACATTTATATATACTTATTTAATATTAATATATTCACATTATTTTGTTTTCTTAGGTTTCTTTAGATCAATAGCTCTTTCTAGAGGAAATTGTTTGCAAGACACTCTTCGATTGCTAACTTTGTGGTTCAGGTACGGAAAGCACGAAGATGTTAGCAAAGCAATTAAGCAAGGATTTGGAAGCGTCAATATCGATACGTGGCTTGAAGTGATACCACAGGTAAGTTTTTGGTTTCACGTAGAAATTTCACTTTGACTTGATCATTCAACATAAATTCAATTTTTACTTTTAATTAGTTAATTGCTCGTATTCATGCTCCAAATCCCAAAGTTCGCGAGTTGATTCACCAATTACTCGTTGATGTTGGTAAAGAGCACCCACAGGCGTTGATCTATCCGTTAACTGTCGCCGCCTCCAAGTCTCAGAGTAATGATAGGCAAACTGCCGCGGAAGCTGTTATGGATAAATTGAGGGCACACAGTGCCGTCCTTGTCGATCAAGTAAATACCGAAATACAACCATTCTCTTTCTATTTTTTGTATTCTTTGTCACATTAACTTTCATTGTTGACGCAGGCCTTACTAGTGAGCAAAGAACTCATCCGTGTTGCCATCTTATGGCACGAGATATGGATGGAAAATCTGGAAGAGGCATCAAGGTTATACTTTATTGATCGAAATTTCGATGCAATGTTCCAAATCTTGGATGAATTGCAAGAACGCCTTGATGGCGGTGCTGAAACTTTGAGAGAGGTTTCATTTGTACAGACTTATGGCCGAGAACTTCAGGAAGCCGGAGGATGGTGCAAAAAGTACAAGCAAACTGGTGACATGACACTCCTCGCTCACGCATGGCAGATTTATCATGAGGTAAACGAATTAAACTAATCATTATTATTTTTAATTATACGTAATCGGTCTTTTAGATGGCACTTATCCTGCATACTCAATTCAAATAGTTGTTCAAGAAAATAACCGCTCAAGTAGGGACTATCACCACATTAGAACTTCAATATGTGTCACCCAAATTGCTGGCTGCTCGGGACTTGGAGCTGGCAGTACCAGGTAAATACTATCTGAGATTTATAGATTGTGAACTTTTGAAATTTTGTCTATAGGTTAATCTTTTTTTTTTTTTTTTTTTTTTGAAAAAATGTTTAGGCACTTACAAGAGCGGTGAACCAGTAACAAAGATCATGAGTTTTGTGCAGAGCGTTAGCATAATATCTTCTAAACAACGCCCCAGAAAGCTCAACTTGATAGGCAGTGATGGAAAAGAGTATCAATTCTTGCTTAAAGGTTAGGAAAAATTTTTATTAGTAGATTATTGAATAATTTCCTCTTCCTATTATTAATTCAAGTTTCGCTGCTATCCCAGGTCACGAGGATCTGCGTCAAGATGAACGTGTGATGCAACTATTTGGTCTGGTCAACACACTGCTATCCGTTGACTCGGAAACATTTAAGCGCCATTTAAACATTCAAAGATACACAGTCACTCCATTAACACCGAACATTGGACTTCTCGGATGGGTACCAAACTGTGACACCTTACACGCCCTTATTCGCGATTATCGTGAAAGTAAAAAGATCTTGTTAAACGTAGAACATCGACTGATGTTACAGGTGTGCGAATGTTGACATCTCAATTTTATTAAATCAAATTGGTTTCAATTCTAATTCGTTATAATTTAGATGGCCCCTGATTACGATCAATTAACGGTTATCGAAAAAGTTGAAGTGTTTGAATATGCTTTAGCCAATACGACAGGCCAAGACTTATACAAAGTGCTTTGGCTCAAGAGCAAGAATTCCGAAGCTTGGCTGGATCGAAGAACAAATTATACTCGGTCATTGGCACTGATGTCGATGGTAGGTTATATCCTCGGGCTCGGTGATAGGCATCCGTCGAATATAATGCTAGATCGATACACGGGGAAAATTGTTCATATTGATTTCGGAGATTGCTTTGAGGTAATCACTTGGTGGCGAGACGCCTATCTATTTGTGCTTCGTACGTGGAAATATATATATATGTATGGTGTGTGTATTTTCATAATTTATAGGTTGCTATGACACGCGAAAAATATCCTGAAAAAATACCATTCCGGTTAACACGAATGCTAATTAACGCAATGGAGGTCAGCGGCATTGAAGGGAATTTCCGTACCACATGTAAAGCCGTTATGAGCGTGTTACGCAAAAATAAGGAAAGTCTCATGGCTGTTTTAGAAGCATTCGTGCACGATCCCTTAATAAATTGGAGGATCATAGCAAATCCTAGCCCTCGGCAAGGTACGAATTACATTACTCTAAACAAACCTTTTTTTTTGTAAAGAACTGAACTTTATTATTTGTTCCTTAGATGGAGAAAACACCAATGCTGTAGGCCCAAGTAATCGTCGCGCGCGCGACATCATAAATCGTATTTCAAATAAATTGACTGGTTCGTACTCACTTCTGTATTCTGGATAATTACTCTTGATATAACTAAATTTATGCGATTATTATTAGGCAAGGATTTCAATCCTAATCAAGAGCTCGATGTTTCATCACAAGTTGAGCGTCTAATACAGCAAGCTAGATCAGTAGAAAATTTATGTCAATGTTATATCGGATGGTATGTGTTACATTTTATATTTCCCAGCGCATTTTCCTTCATTAACAAATATATGCATTTTACGTTTTGCAGGTGCGCCTTTTGGTAAAGGACAAGTATTGTACGATCCGATTTTTTGGAATGAACCGACAGGACCATCAATCTTGCGGTCTTCAATTAGAATTGCAAGTTAAAAAATCGTACCAACCGAGTAGCCCAGATATTTATTTTGTACATATTGAGAGACTTATCGGAGAGGTGTCACAAGAGCTGGCATAGTAAAAAAAGTTTACTTTTCTATTCGACTTTAAATTTGTAATTATATATATTTTTAACCCGCAATCATGCCGTCATGGCGTGTCTTTATTGAGACATTAAGTAAATATCTAATAAGTTAGACTTTCATATGACAACTCGTCATTGTACATTATTGGTTAAAGGACTACATTACTTAAAAAATATGAATCTACTTAGTTTGGATTAAGTCTCAACTAAGTACTATAAGTTAGATTTAGAGAACAATATTATTATTATTAACCTGCAGTCAGGTCTATATATACAAAATATTTACAAAACTGTTAATGATTTTCACATGTTAACTTATCCATCAAATATTTTGTTCCTTTACTAATTTCGATTAACCTTAAATTAATAAAATCATTGTCTACTATAGATCATTCTAAGTTCTATCTGTAGTTTAAAATTCAAACCATTTAATATTATGATAGATTCATTTTCTAATGATTTCTATATCTTTTTTTTTTTTTTCCTTTTTTCATTTTTTTTATTTATATTTCTATTGAAAGTAATTTTTTTTTTTCTTATTATTATTATTCTTTTTTTTTTTTTTTTTTTTTTTAAACTAGTCCAACTAACAGAACGAATCTTTTATTGAGAAATCAGTAGTACATTTTTGAATTACATAAGCCATTCGTATAACCTTATTTTTAACTATCTATTCTAACCCAAGTTCGCAAATTTTACCATACTAGTGATACCATTTTCGTCAGTTACCCTGCTCTGCTCAGGACTACAGCATTCCGAAAGGCCACTGTGGACTTCTTATTATTAATCTTCAAGAAGTTGTGTTGTGTGTTCCTTAGTGAGGTCTTGTTTACCACTTGATGATCGTGGGTTTCATGG